GTTAAATTATAGTGTGTGTATATAAATATATATACACACACAATTTGTGGTATATTCTTAATGATAAAATATTTATGATTTTGAATACATATTCTCTCTCACACATATATATAGTTACATGTATATCCAGCAAGAACTACTTGCATGTAAATCTTAATAATTAGATTTAGATTTTTCACTATTAATAGTTAAGCTGTAAAATATAAAAACTTATCAAATTGTTACAATTTTTACGTAATATATTAGTGAAAAATATTAAACTACAATTACTTGGTATTAAATTTATTTATAAATTAATTTTTAATATTTTAAAATCTAATATTTTATTTTATATATAATTTATTATAAAATTTAATTATATATAACATTCTCTTACACTGTCTATTTGACATATACTAGTCTAAGTCGTAAGCATTAGTCATTACCTAGCCAATTTAACTCGCTTATATTGAGATAAAATGTCGCGACTTTCATTTTTATTTTTTATTTTTTAAAAAAGCGAATACGAACAAGGTGAGAAGAAGGAACAATAATGAATAATCCAATCCAACTTGGTAAATGCAAAATCGTGGAAGACACGTGGCAGGCGTTGATCCTGATGATACGTCACTCCAGTGGCCCACTCGCACCCCATCATCCGTATACCTCCGACACCCGCGGGTCATTTTAAAACGCCACTTCCTCACGCATCTCTTCGATTTCTTCTTCCCTTTTCTCTCTTCGCTCCCTCATCACTTTTCTCTCTCTCCGGCGACGATCTCTGATTCCGTTCACTCCTCTCGCCGGCGATCTCTCACTCTCCCCTCTTCCGCCCACTCCCTTCCGATTCGAATCCTTCCCAACCTCGCACCACCATGAATCCCGAATAGTAAGTGCAAATTCTCTTCGCTGCTTCAATTACGGAAAATCCCGCAACGCATCGTTTCGTTTGTTCCTTTATGAACCAACTCGTTTAGATCTGTTGTAGTCGTCGTGCGCTACTGGTCTATTTTGTGTCTGCCAAGTGCTGATTCGGTTTTGTGAATTTTGATTTACTGGATCGTGCTTCTGGAAACTTCCTTGCTGCTTTAGATCTGTTTCTTTAGATTGTAGATCCGTTCCTGCGTGTTCAATTATGTTTTAGCTATTTAGGAAATGTTTGATTCTCTGATCCGGTTTCGGATTTTTTTAAACGTTTTATTTTATATTAATTATATATTTATTTTTCTGTAATTATGAAATAACTGCAGAAGCTGGGTTAGCATCTACTGTTTAGCAGAAAATACCAGCTTGTTCAGTAGTTAAAAATATTTGAAATCTAAGGACTAGGTTGTTGTGACTTGTAAATTCCTTATGACTGATACCTTGAAAGAACACAGACATCAAGGACTATTGACACAGTCTCTTCTTTTTTTTTTCTTATTTGGTGGAGGTGATCAGTGTGATGCTGTATTCTAACTAAGGATTGTTATAGTTTGACTCTTCTGTTGTGTAAAAGGGGGGTTGCTGATGTTCTATAGTTAGATCTATGAATGTGATGGTTGAGCAACAAGCGGTGCTTCCTGAAATAAATTGATTAAAAAATTTAAAGGGATTTTTAGCTGTTGGTGTTGATTGTTGTTGTGACCATAAATGTATGCTGCAATCTTCTTGGGTAGTGTTATAAAGTGAACAAGTTGTGTAGAAAATAGTCAAAAATACAAAAGACTTTTGTGCAAAATTAGTGGAGTTTATCTGGATCTGCGCGGGCAGATTGCACTTATTTCGAGGTAAATTTAATAGTGAAGATTATGTTGTCGGTTTATAGCACGACTATATCTACGATTATTGGAAGTGATGTCCTGCACGTGGCAGCATGCATGCTACCTTTTAGACGGTTATGTTTTGTGGGGTATGCTGTGGCACTTGTGCTCGTCTTATGTGTTATGTGTTATGTTGTTGTATCCCTGGTCATGTTATTAGTAAAAGGATAGACAGTTTCTTAATAATCTCCTGTTTTTGATTGGAGCATCATTATGTTTTTCGCAGCGATTATTTGTTCAAGCTTTTGCTGATTGGAGATTCTGGTGTAGGCAAGTCATGTCTTCTCCTGAGGTTTGCTGTAAGTTCTCAGCCTGTTCCTGTGCTTCTTCCTTCTTTATGTAACTGTGTTCCTCTTTTTGTTCTTTGGCAATTAATGAAAAACGAAGTTGAATATTCCTACTATTCCATTTCCCTATATTATGAAGGTCCAAATTTACTGAAAAATAAGAGATGAACGGTTTGCATATGTTGTTTCTGTGTTAGTGGCAATCATTGACATGTTTGTTTAGAACTTTGTAGTCCCTTTTAGAGGAGTTGAAATTACTGTAGTGTGTATTGGAGGGGCGTTGCGATGCTAAACAGAAGTTTGTACTTTGAATTTGTTTTAAGAAGTGGAGGTTATACGTCTTAATATTTTATTTTGTTGTGAAACAGGATGATTCATACCTTGACAGCTATATCAGTACCATTGGAGTGGACTTTGTAAGCATTCGTATTTACCATTTAACATTTCCATTTTATTTTCAGCACAAATATGTGAATAATTGTTTACTACGTTCCTTCTTATAGAAAATCCGCACTGTGGAGCAGGACGGGAAGACTATTAAACTTCAAATTGTAAGTCCATGATCATATTAATGTTATTTGAATGAACTTTGTCTCAAATCGTTTTTGGTTCTGATGGGAATGTTTTCATGATTAAGTGTCAATTCTAGAAAAAATGCTCAATCTGAAGTTGTCACTCACGTACTCAAGAATGTCTCTTTTTATATTTAATGTAATAATCATGTGGTTGATTTACTAAGAGGCTCAATCCAAATTGTTCCCAGTCACAACTTATGTCCTTGGTTCATTGAAACAGCAATATTTTGAGGGCTCAAGGTTGCTATGGAAAAAATAGGAAATTGTTTTTTTGAACACCCGATCCCAATTATCTGGGATTGTTGCTTTACTGTATTTTGTAATTGTTGACAGATTTTTCTGCATTTTTTACCGTATAGTGGGACACTGCGGGTCAGGAACGTTTTCGTACAATCACTAGCAGCTACTATCGTGGGGCTCATGGCATTATTGTGAGTCTTTAAACTGGTCCCTCTTCTCCAGTTAATTTCCTTTGCTTTTTTGCAAAACAGTAGGGTAATCCTGTTGTTTTTTTTTTTTTTTTTTTTTTCCAGGTGGTTTATGATGTTACTGACCAAGAGAGCTTCAACAATGTTAAGCAGTGGCTGAATGAAATTGACCGTTATGCAAGTGAAAATGTTAACAAACTTCTAGTTGGAAACAAGTGTGATCTCACGGCAAATAAAGTTGTGTCCTATGAGACAGCAAAGGTGATTCTAAATTTGTTGGTTTGTGTTGTGTATATTTCCCACTGATATCTGTTGTATCATTCCTTTTTGTAATTTTGTCTAATGTTTTCAAATTTGTGCTTTCTATTTTTGTCATTTTAGGCATTTGCGGATGAAATTGGAATTCCCTTTATGGAAACTAGTGCTAAAAATGCCACCAATGTGGAACAGGCTTTCATGGCCATGGCTGCTGAAATTAAGAACAGGTGCTGTATTTCTGTTTGCAATGTCATTAAATTTGTCAATAAAGGGCCTTTCTTCCTGCTCTTGTTAAGCATTTAGTTTGAGTTTGTGGATTCAATTAATTGTGTTTAGTTAAATGCCTTGATGAGTACTGATCTACCCAGATGATTGACATGTTTGCTTGCCCTATTTTGTTTTCCACAGAATGGCAAGTCAACCAGTGAACAATGCCAGGCCTCCAACAGTCCAAATCCGAGGACAGCCAGTGAACCAGAAGTCTGGTTGCTGCTCGACTTAGAGACGAAGTATTTGTGGTCTTAGACGTTTATATGTGTCTCACTGGCATGTAAAACTAGTTTTTCACATATTGCTTTAATATGAAGATTGTTCGTCATGATTTGCTCCTTATCGTTAAGTCGTTGTTTAAACTTCCATTCTTTTCAATGTATTTGATTTTCAAGAAACATCTGTACAAAATTAGGAATATTGGTGAATAGCAGTATTTGCCTTGTTCTTTGTCCCATGCACATTCAACTCATTTCAACAGCTTCGTCTATTCGTTCACTTATCTCTTTAAGAGTAGAATCTTGTTCAATTGCATCCACATTTGTAAGTTAATGAAATAAAATAATAGAAAACTGGATTTTTTATTTATAAAAAAAAGTTTCACTTGTTATAACTTCATTTTATTTTCTAATTTTCTTATCAGTTTACCAGTCTCTGGCACATTTTTTAGTGAGTATACTTTTTGCTTTAAACAGAGCATAAAGAGTCATTTATTCTATGGATTTTTTTCGCGTCATGTGGGTCATCTCTATCTCTGTATTTTTTTTATAATTATTTTAACTTCAATGGGTCTAACATCCATATTATAATTTAATCAATTTACCTCTTCAACACGGCAATACTAAAAATTTTATTTAATGAACTTCACAAGTAATTCTATACACTTATATTTTCATTATGTTTACTAAACACCGAAGCTAACTTGTGGCCCACAAAAATAAATAGACTTCTAATGCTCAGCTCACGGTTCCTCTCAAACTCATCTCCAATGACAGATTCCTAATAAAGCATGATGCTTAATAAGAAAAAGATATATAACCACCCTTGGATGGAGATGAAGTTCGAGATAAAACATTACATATGAAATTTATTTTGTTTATTTAAAAATAAAATGAAACGGGATTAAAAAGATACGCATGGTTTCACTTTCACCAAAGATTATAGAACCAAGAGGAGAACGAAATATAGAAGCTATTACACGCTGTTTCCTACCTGGCAGTAGGACAAGAGGAATCACTTTCCAGGTCTTGCTCGCTGAATGACAGCAAAATACTTATTTCTCATTACAGTTTGTAAATTAATATTAGAGTGTAGTACTGTATTGCAATTTCATTCGAATGAGCAAATAGGCCAAAATTTTTGGTGCACGTGACAGGAAGCACTACAACCATGTTTCCCATCTCAATCAATAAAAAGTATTTAAAATTAAATAATAACGTCAATAAATTAAACAATTTTAATAAAAAATAAATTCGGGGTACTACTGCCTCATATTGCAGCATAGAATTCCCCCAATTCAACAATTCAATGTTCAACGAAAAAGTCATTGGATGGTTCTGTTTCCAGTATCCTCTACTTGCAAGTACTGGCTACACACCGAACAATACTCACAATTCCAGTGAGCAACTGTTCTCTAAGAATCAGTTTCCAGATGACTGTTGTTGAACTCCACCACAGCACAAATCACAACCCATGTGGCCTCCTGATTTTGAAGAGAAATTGAGGCTGCATTTGGGAAAGCATTTATTCTTGGGGTGCCAACAAACAGCAAACCATTGCTTTCTCTTAGTCATACCCTGTCGAGAGCTTGCGGATCTTACTAAGTGTCACAACTAAGGTGTGGGTATAAAGGACGTGGCAGTTAATTTCCACTTTCCCAAGCCAACTAGTTCAACTGAAAATTTTAATACGATGTTAGAGCAATTATGCAAACTTCTCTGATCTCTAGCTTAGTATTCCTTTCTTTCTGTGTATGACTGAATTCATATCGACTTCAAGGTGAAGAAGAGCTTGTCAGCGCTGGTCTTAGAATGAAATATCATACCCTTCAATTCAATTTCATTGTGTGGACTCCACATTAGCAAGCTTACCAATAATCCCTGCATGAGCAGAACCCATTCTTAAAATGATGAAATCTCGTGGTATCTCTAACTATGATTTCTCTTCCTTCTATAGCTGAGATGTACTTAATTGCAGAGTGGCAATCTCCACAAACTCTCAAGTTTTTAAACACCCGTATTGGAACCCCTAATGGTACCTTTAGAAGTCCAAATGCAATTGCCAGTTTCTCACTATGCCACAAAAGAAGCTGTTCTTTAAGCTCCTCTCCCACATCATGCAATGCAAATTCAAGATCTGGCACATAACCAGCCAACTTCATTTTCTTCTCCAAGTCATTTAGTTTTGCATGTATAGAAGCCAATTCAGGGTGCAATCTGTCGCTCGATCTAAACTCATGCACCACATTGTTTATTTCAATCCAACTATATCCAGGTATCTTCACTACATTATTTTCTTTCATTGATCTTCGGATCCTAGCAACATGGTCCCATCTGTTTTGTGCTGCATAAACATTAGCCAGTTGAACATATCCAGTTGCACTAGTTGGATCAAGCTCAAGCAGATTCTTGGCAGCAAACTCAGCCAAGTTTAAGTTTTTATGGATCCTACAAGCACCCAGAAGTGTTCCATAAATTGCAGGATGTGGCTTAAAAGGCATACTTTTTATCAAATCTACAGCCTCAGATAATTTTCCAGCTCGACCGAGAAGGTCAACCATGCATGCGTAGTGTTCCGGCTTAATTACAATTCCAAAATCCCTTAATGAGTTAAAGTATTGGACCCCAAGATCTACCATTCCTGCATGGTTACAAGCTAATAATACTGCAACAAAAGTAATCCAATCTGGCTTCATGCCTTCATTTTTCATCTCATCAAACAAATGAAGAGCTTTTTCACCAGCCCCATGCTGAGCATAGCCAGAAATCATAGAATTCCAGCACACTACATCTTTCCGTGGAATCTGAACGAATAACTTCCAGGCATCCTTTAGATCCCCACACTTGGAGTACATGCTAACCAACGATGTCCCCGCCGTCGTATCACTACTCAATGGAGACTTGCAAACTAACTGATGAACTTGTTTACCCAGCTGCAATGCTGATAAATTACTGCACCCCAACAAAACACTAGTCAAGCTCAAAGCATTAGGCTTAATCCCAGTTTCTAGCATTTTCCTGAAAAGCCTTAACCCATCCTCTGCCCTTCCATTCTCAACATACCCAGCAATCATAGCATTCCATGTCACCAATGTCCTCATTGACATTTCCTGGAACAACCGTTCCGCAGATTCAACCCTCCCAAACTTCATGTACCCAGTGATCATGGCAGTCCACGTGATCACACTCCTCACAGGCGCAGCATAAAAATACTCCACAGCAGAATCCAAATCCCCACAAGCCACATATCCAGACACCATGGCACTCCACGACACACAGTTTTTCTCCGGCATCGCCGAGAACAACCTCCGAGCCTCGCCCATGAGTCCAACCTGCGCATAACCCGAAATCATGGTGTTCCACGATGCAATATCCTTCATGGGCATGCTGTCAAAGAAGCCACGGGCCTCATGGACACCAAAATGGTGCAAATGACACGCCAACATGATGTTATACGAAACAGCGTTTGGTTGGGGAATTTTTTCAAACAGTTGGCGTGCGTGTTCAAAGTGGCCGTGTTTCCTGGCAAACGCGGCGAGGATAGAGTTCCACGTAACAGTGGACTTCACTTTCATGTTCTCGAACACGCCAAAGGCGGAATCTACGTCACCACATCGAACGTAGCTTGTGATGAGCTTGTTCGATGCAACCACGTTACTGTCATTGAACTCACTTTGATGGGTATGTGAGGAAACATGTGGACGAGTTGAGGTGGTCAAATTGAAATTTTGGTGTTTGCTTAGTGTAACAAAGAACGAGGTTGACAAAGGATTTCGCTTCTTCCTCCTTAATGATCGCAAATAATACATGTATGAAGGTTTACTATGATTCAGTCTTTAGATGTTTCAGTTTCACTGGAAACACACGAGTTCGGATGTTTCATGGATCATGTATTGTAATTGTATTGTATGAATAGCAAAATCAAATGAAAAATAATAATAAATCAGAAAATAGAGAGAATGCAATAAAACGAAACAAGTTCCGTTGCCGGGACTTGAACCCGGGTCTTTCGGGTGAGAGCCGAATATCCTGACCAACTAGACTACAACGGAATTGTTTGTATGTTAATTAAAAATTTTCTTTTAAGATTCAAGGATCTTCGACATAAATATAATTTATTTTGAATTTTTACACATATGCAATTAAAATTAAATTTTGATTAATATTTATTATTTTAAAAAACTCGATTGTTTATTGGGTCTTATTGTTACATATTCAACTTATATTGATTGCTTGCTTGTATAAGGAACACTAACTTAAAGAAAATATAATGATAAATGTAATTCGCTCAACTTATTTCAGCTCAAAGTTCCCTAAGCTTGTGATAAAGTGTTTTAGTGTAGGTTTTTATTTTCTTTTAGTGGATACATCAACACTTTGTTTTGTTCTCATTAGCTATAGTAATTTCTTTTCATGGCAGTTTTTTTGTTGACTGGGAAGCATCAATTTCTTTTTTTCAAAATTATATATATGTATTTATTTTTTCACGAGGATGAGAAAAATAAATTAGTCATATAGTTATAGATAAATGACAAATATTTAATGCCATATGAATGATATATTATTTAGTGTTTCAATATCAAAATTCATTTCAAATATGATATATAATCAACTTTTATTAATTATTTTTTGCAAATTAAAAAACTTACGTATTATATAAAGGTAGATAATTGATGATTCAAAATTACTTAATATTTTCTGTTGAGCACTTAAAAGAATCATGTAACTTTTTTTAAAAAAGCTTACATGACTTATTGTGTATTTTAATCTTGATCATTCATGATAAGGTCAAATTATTAGAAATTATTCTCACTTGATTTGATCTTGCTTTTTTTTTTTTTTTTTTTTTTTTTTTTTTTTCCTTTCTTCTTTTCAGTTCTCTGCTCTTGAATAATAAGAGATTTCTTGTGCAAACTAAGGTGATACGATTTGTTTAGTTATAAGAATTATATTTGTGTTTATGCTTGTACTTTTCTCTAAATTTGGCATTATTTTATAAATATGTCATGTGTCGCTTTTTTTTTTTGGTACAACTTTACTAAAGCTTCTTTTTAACTCTATTTATTTTTTTATTTTGGTTTCATTTTGATAAGATGATAGAATTATATAGAATAACTTGATAGAAAATGATTGTATGATAAGTTATTTTAAGAAAAATTATTTCTCTCTCTCTCTCTCTACAAAAATGTAAAGGAAAGAGTCCGAAAAAATAAATAAAATTATGGTGAAATATAATTAAATTATATATATGTTTTAATTAAATTTTATTTTGGCTCTCCAATTTTTTTTCTTCAAACTTCGTCACTGTACTCTTCAATTGATGGCTGAAATTGGTGCGAAGTGATGTGATTTGAATCTACCCATTTAACCTCTTTTCAAATTGATCAGATTCGCACATGTTAAACATAAACTAAACACTAATCGGACGTGTTAAGCTGAGACAATTTTTTCATACATTATTTCATTGCAAATAGTGTAGAAATAATTATTCTAATAGTATTTGAAAAGAGACATGAAAATCATGTGTTAATTAGAATTTAGGAGGAGTTGCCCTACATTGTCATTTTATCTGTGTTGTATTTCAGAAATTCTGAGACGCGACAAATACTTGTTGACATTACTGACTTGTATAAAAAGAATAAAAAATGATATATTTGATTGAGGGATTAGAAGAATTGATATGATAAGTATCGAGTTAGAATTGTGATTAATCTTATCTGTTCATGAGTGAATGAAATTATAAATTTCACACTAAAAAAATCAAATCCTCCAGTAATAAATTGATAATTGAGTTATTGCTGCATCATTATTCTTACTTGTTAGTGTTAATAACAGTAACTAACCAAATATAACGTTAGTGGGAAGTGCCAAATTTGAGGCTGCAATTGTTTAAAATGGATACTTTTATTAATATAATGTCCTCATGCATTGCTAAAGTAATTTAAGTAATGATGGCTTTTAGATTTTTTATGCTCCAAATATATTTGTATGTAATAAATTATTTGAGCAATTTGAGCGTTGTGGAGTCCATGATAAAATTCATAAAACGGTAGAATCAAAATTAAATTTCCACTGGCAGTAGTGTCCAGATGTTTGGAAGATTAGGTTCTTCAAGTTTTGATTATTTAGATAGATGTCAAGCTTTGAAATATAAAAAGGTAAGGAAGCGACAAATTATTATTTAGAATTATATTTTTTATTATTTAACTTTTACTGAGTACTCTCAGTAATAATAATAATATTTTTTTTATTTAAACTATAAGTTTTTTTTTTTTTTTGTGGGAGCTATTCTCATTCAAATAAGGAATATCCATAATATGATAAAGCTAGTTCAATAGCTCACGCATGAAGCATTTTTATTAAAACACAATAGTTACGATATTCAAATTTAACACTATTCGATCAAAAAAAATATGTTTGAGTCGAACTAACTACCAATAAGTAATTGTTAGCTCTCAATTTTGTCTTCTTTTATAAATTAGTAGGGTGTAAATGAATTGGGTTGGATTAGATTTGGATGAGTCTGTTAATTGATTCGATCAAAATTTGATGGATTAGATTGAATTAAATTTTTGTATAATTTTTTTAAAAAATTTAATCCAATCCAATCATGAATGGATTGTGTTGAGTTGAGTTAATCGATTTAACATAATTAAATTTATCTATTTTTGTAAAAATTTAAATATTTTAAAATAGATGTAAATCATTTAATACATTGTTGTAAATACAATGTTATTAATCAATAAAACAAACAATGACACAAATTAAATTCTAAAATAAATTTATTAATTTGTTACATTATTATCAACTTAAAAAACTAACATTAATTAATACAAAATAAAATTTAAATAAATATATTATATTGTTATAATACTATCAACCTAAAACACAAAACTCGTCACTAAGTAAGAGTGACAGTGAATATACATTGTCTTGAGAAAATGATTATTTAAATATTATTATTATTATTATTATTATTATTATTATTATTATTATTATTATTATTATTATTATTATTATTATTATTATTATTATTATTATTATTATTATTATTATTATTATTATTATATATGACCAAGTCGGGTCGAATAACGGGTTGAAAACATAAAATTCGTTTCACAGGCTTTTCGAATAAGGTTGCGAAAAAATGAATCGATTTCAACACCTCAGGAGGTTTCTTGGGAGGCTTCGACCCCTCTTGGGTGCAGCTTTGCTTGGATGGTAGTATTCGTCCGCATTCTATTACGGTAGGATTCAATGGTTTGGTGTGGAACAATGAGGGGCACTTTATTTTTAGGTTCTATGAGTGTATTAGATCTTCCGATATATTGTATGCCAAAATTCATACTCTTGTTAAGGGGTTACAGTTGTGTTGGGAAAGACATTTCTGCCATATTTAGTGTAGGTTGGACTCCTTCTATTTGATTGAGTTAGTTTATGAAGGAGCCGATCCTCATCATAGATATGCGAATGATATTGCACTCATCTAAGAGATGATGGGACAAAAGTGGAGGTGTACCCTTAATCACGTTCTTCGAGATGGAAACACCTGTGCAGATTGGTTGGCTAAGAAAGGGTCTTTATCAAATGTTCCTATAGTTTCATTTGTGGGTTTTGAGGCTGCTCTTCACTTGTTGTTAGCTGCAGATGCACGCCGCACTCCCTATTTACATTTGTAGGGTCGGGTAGTGAGACTTATCTAATTTATGTTTTTCTTTTTTCGTTTATTTGGGTTGTACACCAAAAAAAATAATAATGAGACTACTATCTTTTATTAATATTAAGAATTATTTGAATGTGACATTCTCTTAATTCTAGGGTTTAACTAGGGTTTAAGGATGCAAGTCGTAACAACTTGTGGTCTTTAAGATCTTATCTAATTTTTTTAAAAAAAAAACATATGATTAATCATTAGAATATCATTATTTTTTAATATAAATATTTGAAGTCATCATATAAATATTTTATTGAAAAAATGTTTAATTAGATGTGACATTTTTTTAATTTTTGAGTTTAAGATACAAGTTGAAACAACTTTATATTTTAAAATTTTACTCCAAAAATAAAAATATCAAATTGAAATCTTCTTTAAATATATGCCACAATAATTATACTTAACAGTTAAATATTTCAATGAACTGATTTTGGTATATACCCTTGTCAATTTGTACTTTAGGACGTATGAACTGTGACAATTTAGAAATCTAACTTTTAATAAAAACATAAATTAATTAAAAAATTTAACACAAACATTTTTTTATATAAAAGAACTACGTAAATTTGATCGTTCATTACACATGAAGATACATAGAAGCATGAAATCATTCTTGTCGAACCAAAAAAATATAAATAAAAATATTGTCTCGCCTTTTTGTATAGTAATAATAATAAATTATTTTAATATTCATTAAAATAAAATATACATGCTTTTTAAGTAGAATATATTTGATTGTTATAGTTAATTTTATTAATTTGGGTGAGATAAATATATTAAAGTTATAAACAGTTTATTTAATTAATTAGAGTTAACCGTCTTTACAACAATGTTTTTTTTTACATGTAATTGACTTCCGAACCTTAAATCTATTTTCATATATCGTTGTTTTATTTTATGATTTTTCTTGAAATAAACATTGTTGACCTACCTTTTTAATCTATTTTTGTCATCCGATGAGAATCAATGTTGCTATAGCAATTATTGGTTGAATTGAATGAAAGAAAACTAGTAACAAGTATCAACATGTTTATTTAAAGATTAGTTAAAAGATTAAGAGCAATTAAAGTAATGAGAATGTTAGATAATAAAATATTGCTATGACTAATTTTTTTTATTTATCATTTATTATATATGTACATATATTTTTTCATAATTCTAATTATTAATTTTTAAATAAGTGATTGTAATTCAAAAAAGAAGA